CACAGATTTCAGTGATGCAGCCCAGTAAATGACTTTTAGGTTAAATAATAGCTTCTCTACTGCTTCAGTCATATTCAGCTATGTAAGTAAATCATGTTAGAGCACAGTACAAAGATCTCCTAATGAAACAAAGAGAAAAAAAATTACTGAAGTCCAGTTAAAAACAGGAAGTAGAAGAAAAAGGATGGTTTTAAAGAAAAATAAAGTCCTAATTTAAAACTAAAAATCCTTGCTTGAACAAAGCCTTGAACTGATACAAGTGGCATTTGCACATCACATTAGGAACTAATATAGGAAAACCAGAATCACATTCTAGCCAGAGTAGCTGAGATACCCAAAATACAAGTGAAGCAATAATGTCAACAGAGATCCGATCAGACTGACAAGCCTTCAAAGAGCCACAGCTAATATTGATGATAGTTTTAAAAGCAATCCTGCAAAACACACAGATATTATAAGAGCATTAAAAACTAAAGAATTAACTGCAGTTAACTGCAGGTCATCAGGATTTATGCTATAAATTCTCACAACCATTAAACTCAATACATGACAACCTGGGTGGCCCACATCACCTTTCTCAGCACTTCCCTGGCACTGGCCCACACTTCGGGTTGGCACCACTCCCTAAGCCCCTCACCATTCCTCTCATCCAACTGTTTATTCTTTGCCAAAGGCAACACAGTACACGATAGAGCCTGATGTGACTTACACTTATAATCATATTTAGCCAATGATTCTGATTAACTTTTAATCACTCATATAAAAACATCTTACATATTGGAAAACTGTCATGTCCCTCCTCAAACTTCTCCTTATTTTTCCCTCAGAAGAAACAAAAGGCAAAATTGTTTCCATCATTTATAGTTTCTGTGCTCTTCTCTGAACTCTATCCAGTTCATCCAGGTTTTTCCTGAATTCTGTTCCCCTGTGAATCTTTCTCCTGAAGAAATATTCAAATCTCCTCATTAGAAGTCATATGACTACATTCCAAAGTTGGAATTCACCTTTAATGCAATCATATTCCTGACTTCTATTCAGTTGTTGGTTCGCTATAACACCCCTGAGCCTATCCTATGGCAACAGTGCTTAAGGAATTATTTCTCAAATTTTAGTTTGTCAGATTCTTACTTGCTAGAGTCCTTGACACTTGTCTCAACTGAAAATCATCTTACTAACTTCAAGTCCTTCCTCTAATTTATCAAGATCAGCATTATTGTTCTTTCAATATGCCTGAAACTACTGCAAGCTTGTTGCAAAACCACAGTTTTAACATTCATGCCCATATGCAATCCCTGAAGCCTATAAAGAAAATAATGAACAAAACCAAATCCAGCAGGGACTATGGCCTACTTCTAACATATACTCTTGGATTAACTACAAATACTGACAATGACTTTTGAAGGCATCTTTCAAATAGTTGGACACTTAAAAATAATCATCAGCTTTTCAATGCGGTTTAAGGCAATTTCTCCAGATTTCAGGGTCACCATCTTGAACATATTAAATAAAACTTCTAGAAACTGAGCCTACTGTTACAGTGCTGCAATGCCTGAAGGGTCAACTTTAAAAGAAATTTGTAATAGTTGGTTGCTACGGAAAAAGTGGTTTCCACAATTAAGAAAAAGAACGGGCTTAAGAAAAAGTGGCAATGAACAAAATTCTCAAGCTACACTACTGAACAATTATGGGACCATCTCTGGCTTAGCTTGGAGTTTAAACATCCTGAAGAACTTTCCCCTACATTAACATTCAGTATTTAGCCATAAATCCTCAGATACAAACACAATTCTCCCTCTTCCTCTCCATGTATAGTTCTACCTCATTCTTCCCTACCTACTCTTGTTCTCTCCTTTAAGGGCTGAGAGAAGTTCGTCTATTTTCCAGGCATTATCAAAGAGCTCTTTACTCAACAGCATGTAGTTATTTTGTATACTGGTTTCCCTTTATCAGGCTTTGTTTTCAGTTTCTTCCTCGTGTAAACAGAACAGGCATTTTTAACTGGAATCAACAGCGAGGTAAATTTCTAGATTGTCCCCACTAACTCACTGTTTTCACATTGAGGAATGGTCTCGGCCACATGAATTCATTTCATTTAGCTGAATCTTACCAGGCAGATGAATCCCAGGAATGTACCTAGAGCACTCCAGCTGCTAATGGAGAACAACTACATCAGACAGGCACAGAGCTAGTTCTGAAACACACAGATGACAAGTCATGCTGCTGGCCTCAAGTACAACTCCCTGCAGATCTGCTTCTAACAGACCACACTACTTGCCGAGGTAAAGATAGTCACAGAAAACCCAAACAGGCGACAAGACAAATATGTTTAAAAAGCACCAGTTAAAACTTTACTCTCAAAAAAACCTCCAAGTTTTCTCCAGCTTGTTCAAAGACACACACAGTTTCAAATCATACAGCTCATCCTGCTGGAGAGTAACTCCTTAAATACTATGCTATTCTGAGCATTTGGTAGAAGTATTTATCCCTAATCACAGAATATTCTGAGTTGGCAGGGACACACAAGGATCATTGAGTCCAACTCTTAAGTGAATGGCCCATGCAGAGATCAGACCCACAACCTTGGTGTTATTAGCACCATGTTTTAACCAACTGAGCTAATTTCAAGGTCAATGAGCGTGTCCTGTAGTATAAGATGAAATTTCTTATTTTTGAGCTCTTTTGAAAATAATATTCTCTCAACAGTTAATGAATAAATGCATAAACATACAGACTCTTTTATCAAGACGTCAGGCTGAACTCTAAATGAAAATAAGAAAGTTGTATTAGGTTTTATAATTTCTTTAAATGATACCTTCTTGTGATATTCTGAAGTGTTAGCCTAATTAGGTCATAATTTTGATTCTTAGTTAGGTGATTTGATATTCAAAAGGGCTACATACAGGAGCAATTTTGAAAGCAAAACTATTTATTTTGAAATCTGCATTTGGGTTACAGGTTTTAATTCTTTTTAATGTTAATTATGGCCAAAAGGCATTTCAAGAACAGCTAGAACAGTTTATGACGGGTGTGACACTGCTGTACCAGGTCTCAACCAGTTCCTCACAGGTACTCAATTTTTCACTATGCATCATGTAAAATGGTAATTCTGGTCCCAGGTATCGTCAATACTTGGCTAACAGCCTACAGTCAAATACCTTATGTTTTCCTTGGAATGTACTTCTTCCTTGTTTTATTTGAAAGGCAGTATAACTGTCTACCTCTATCACAGTAGTAAAAATTATTCTTGCACATGTCACTCATGCCTTCTTGTGTTATTTTTGCCTCATGTAATAGAAAACAGTGGGTTTAGCAGTTTTAAATATTTTAGTCTTTGTATACACTGTGTTGGGAGCATGATTGGGCCCTTTCCCAAGGTACTTCATCAAGAGTAAGATTTCTTCCGATTTGTTTACAATTTTTACAAATTCTTCTGTCTTTCCTAACAGAATTATTCATAATCAAATTGCATGGTTCCCTGAACTCAGTAACACTAGTCAACTGTACAGGCAGAAGTGAATTTCCTTATTAAACCAATTCACCTTATTAGCATAGGTAGAAAAAGATGAACTGCAGCTATTTACACCTTTTCAGAATTCTTAGAAGAATGAAGACAATGGTTATATAATCAAAGGTCAACAAAAGAAGTACCTTTTACACATATTTTAGTCTTCAAAGAAATACTAACAAAAATTTCTAAAACAAATATGACACTTTTTTAGCCTCACATGATTATGAATCTGCTTCCAGATACGGGAATAGTGTAACACTAAACAAAAATTATATATATATATATATATGTATATATATATATAAAATTTCTACCATTGCATAGTCTGCAGCCGTTTTACCAGATCATTTACAGCAGCACACACAAAGGAGGGCTGCACATAACAATAACAGGGACTTCCAAGCTGCTGAAACATTGCACAGGCCATTCATGTTATATTATATTAAACAGGAATTTAATTATTCTTTGTAATGTAAGAAAACAAAGTACTGATAATCAAGATACTGCCCTAACACAACTCCAAACTTTATCAAAAACAATACCCAAAATAATAAACTCCAATTTTTAAGCATGAAGTATACATACTTTTCCCAATAGATGTGAAGACTGCTGTAGTGGAAGGAAGTCGTTGAGGTCAAAGGGCATAGTGATATTTTGTGGTTTAGGAGTGTATGAAGCTGAATGAACAGCCAATCCAAATTTAGAGCAGAAAGCTGGGAAAGAAAATACCTGTTTCCAAGCCAGCAGGAGTATCTGATGTTTACTAAGAGACTATCTGTCTCACAAGAGGAAAAAGGCAGGAAGAAAATGTCTTGCAATAGTGCAAAGACGCTAAACTTCAGACTCTGCAGAAAAGGTGAGCCTTTGGTCCCAATATTATTATAAAGTAGGAATATAGAAAAGGACATGAACAAAATTTCCTTTAAAAATGGTAATTCCATGACATTCATTTAAATCATTGTGCACTGTGAAATCTTGTCCACATTCTTTTTCTATATGAGAAATACTATTCAACACATACTTAAATTAGTTTCATCTTCAATTTCATGCTTTCTATGAGATACCACCCAGCCAGCTAGTACTTTCTAATGCTGCAGATTTTTTTTCTCTGGTGTTATCAGTACTTCATAATTTGGCCTCTAGATATGCCATAAAGCCACCAATGCAACCATAATCATTTCTTTATCAAGAAAGTAGGACTTTTCACTCCTCCTTTTTCTGTCACATTAGAAACATACACACGTACACATCCAATTGAAAAGTGCAAAGAAATAAGAGATAAGACTTTTAGAGGATAAAGATGACCATCTGGAGTTCATTTGCTGCATTACTGAGCATATTCATTCTACTGTCATTCTACTGGTCAGCGACACAGTGTTTGGTTTTCATTATCAATGAAAACTAAACTGCCAGTAAAATAAAATGTGCAAAATTTTTAGTTTTAATATGCAAATAAGTATTTTGAATTCTGAAGATGTACTTCACGGCTTACCTGGCATGACAGCAGCTTGCTGAGTGGCCAAGTCTGTACTTAATGAAAGGCGACCACCTTTGGCCAATCTATCACAGAAGAGGGTGATGTTCTTCTTCAGTCTGCTGGTATCTTTGGGCATGCACAACTGGCTGCTGAGAGTCAGGGCCTGCTCTTTAGAGCTCTTTGACAAACAAGTTCTTAACAAGTAAGAAACTGCAGCATCCACAGTTTCTTCCCAACCCTGCATTAAAGAAATGGAAATTAAATAAAATTAGGTGAACTGTAATATGATGTAGCACATTTAAAATAAAGTAAAAAAACAAGGACCGAGATTTTCAAATTATATTGATAGATAAAATATAATTTGAGGGGTTAATGAGTGTCATGAACACTCAACTTCAACTTGTACAAGCAAAAGCTGAAAAAACAATCTTGTTCCAACATTAGATCAACAGAGAATTCTAATTTCAATAATAATAACGTAAGGACAGTATGTGATAAAACAGTTACGTTCAGTATTAATAACTGAAAACTAGATGTTCCTGGTTGTGACATTTAGAATTAAGAACAGAATGGAGACTTAAAAAAACCATAATACATAGCATATAACATTGTGATGAAGATATATCAAGGCCAGGAAAAAAACCCCAAACTTATCCAATTATACGTTCTTTGAAATCACATCTAATATTCTGATAACACATCAGTAGTAGAAAACATCATGAGTGCAACCCAAAGCTGCAGACATTCAGTACCCATTTATCAGTTATGATACCCACAGCATTAGCAGAGGTGTGTCAGTGCTGTGACAAATGGGGACTTTGATTTCAGCATAATGCCGAGCTGTCAACATTTATGAAAAAAACAGCTTAGTAATCACTTCTGTTAAAATGAGCAGCTACCTACGGAAAAGCTTTCAGGAGGAAAAGCCATATTCAGTGTCATATTCAGTATATATATTTCCACAAAATAACAATAAAGTGCAGGCTTCCGCAAATAACACTCCGTAAAAACAAGAAAATTTCTTTTCATGAGGCACCTCGAAAAGCATATTTAAAACTTAGCTTCAAGGCTGTAATTTGTACTGTAGTTTTCAGTGAAACAAACAAATGTTCCTTTAACAAGAATCCTGGATAGCAGAAGCCCTTATTACTGACAAGGTTATTAGGTTAATGCATAAAATCTAATATATGACATCTATCTCATTTTTGCAATATGAAATGCAGATTGACTCCTCTTGATGCATTTTGAAATCTTAAGTTACAGCCTGTGATGAGACCATATGATTAATTAAAAGCATCTATAATGAACCAGGAAGACACTCACAAAGCCTGCTCATGACAATCTTACAGAACTTGGACAAAGTCTTCTAGTTTTTAAGCTCTTTCTCATGGTGTGTTATAGTTAACTGAAAACATTCAGTTGTACAGCAAAATCATCTACCTATGCAAATTTCCACTACTTGATAAGTGTAACATTTGAAAGAATGATGGTGTCAACCCTGCTGGAGTCCACTGACAAGCAAATAAGTTTAATTAATTTCTTTAATTAAATACATATGGCTTTTGTGAAGGGTACTACTTTTAACACAGAGAAGCAAAGACCACCTTTCTTGACCTTGTTAAATTCCAGATCTAGGTTAGATGCTTACTAGTGGTCAAGTACATCAGTAAGACCACACAGTCATATGCACTTCAACCTTATCCAAACATACACTTAGTGTCCTGAAAATGTGCTGTATGTGTATAAAATACTTACATTTTGCAGAGAAACAGGATCACCTAGTAAAGTTTTCTTAGTCAACATTTGCCTTTCCTAACTTCAGAATAACAACAGCATTAACCTACTATCTTATCAGGATTTGCCCCCTCAAAAAACATGTAAATTAGAAAAATACACCAATCAATCAATGCTGTGGTAGCTTAACGTTTTTCAAATATCCTAGAAAGAGTCCATTAGAGTGCAATGCATCCACTGACCTGTGATGGTGACAGGAAATCATCCATTCTGCAGCCAATTTAAAGAGGTTAATGAGCTGGTAAATGCTGTCTACATTCCCACATACTGGGCAGTGAAACTCAATATGTACAAAGCATCAAAAACAGCCAAGCCAGGCACTCCTAATTATACTACAAATCATGAAAAATAGGACAATATAAACATAAGAATCTTGAGTTTCACTAAAAGACAAAGAAACATGTGATTAACTGGTGTCAGCATACAGTAGCCGAGAAGCTGGCCAATATGTCTGTCCATTTAAGTCGTAAAAATGCAGGCAAAAGGAGCATTTAAATAAAAGTACTGAAATATAAGCTAAGGAAAGTCAGGAAATTAAAAATGGCTAGTATTCTGTCCTTGGCTCACACAGGTATGTTTTACTTTATACCATAGCCTTAACATTTTCCAACCCTTGTTCTTGTATTTAATTTCCATGTAAAACTGGTTTCTCAGTAGACCATAAAACTATCTTCTCCAATTCAAGATCTGTTGACCTACTAAGTCCTGTCAAAACCAAAGTAGTCTTTGTGATTACTGAAAGAGTACATAAAAGCTACATCTAAATGAAAAAAACTTGACGGAAAACTGTTGAGACGATTTTATACAACTAAAAATTAACAGCTGCAAATAAGGCTGCATTTGTCAGCAATTTTTATTGGTGCAAGGGGAGAACTGAAAGAACAAGAAAAATGTTTCACCCCTTATGTGTTAAAAAAAGCTGAAAGATGTTTGAAAATGAAAGCATTCTAGTCTGTAGCCCACACTGAAGAATGATTCTACAGCCACAGTTGTAATATTCACTAATGGCTTTCTGTGTAGCATTCTGCATATTTGAGGTCTGAAAGGAACACCTTCAACGTGTGATACCAGTAATCCATCGTTCTATGACCAGCAAGCATTGCCGTAACTGTGACAACAAATGTGAGTCAAGACTCACAGAAAGAGGCATTATTAAACCGTCCAAAGTCTTCCTATAATTGAAATAGACAAAAAAAGCTTAATTCATCAATTTTACTTTTTCATTGGGAAAGACTAGGCTTCATATTTTGCACATATGCATTATTATTATTTTTCTCTTGTAGGTAATAGGTAGAGATTCCAAAAGAATTCAAATGCAACGTGAGACATACTGCAAAAACTATGCAAAATTGATGCAAGCTAAATTATGGGAATTCTTACAGCTGTTAACTCAGGAATTTGCCTGGCTCTATCTTATGTCTTGATTTTAGACACAATAATGATGTCATCACCTCTCAAAAATGCTGGAATACTTGAAAGCTCACCATACTGACTGACAATCTTGGCACTTATGCTTATCCAAACCACTAAAGAAGAGATTTCTGTATCTGAAAGCACTGCATATGCTAATTCACAAGAAACACCAGCCATGTGTCTCAACATTTTGCTTTTAAAGTCATTAAAAAAAAATACTGTTACACATACAAACAGTGGCTGTTGAACTTGTAGACTCCAACACAAGCACAGATCACTAGCAAATTTTGCCCGGATTCCCTGTGCTACCAGTCATCCTAACACATATTCTTCAAGCATATTCTGTATTTCTAACTGATCTACTTGTCTCCAAGAGGATATAACAGTCTCAGCAGCCATGAAGTAGGCATGCAACATTCGCCTGTGCTGCCAGAAATGGAAATGACAAACTTTCCTTGCGAGTGCCCCTGAAAAATTACTGCTAAAAATGAAGCATTTAGGAGACCTCTTGAAAAGAATCTGAATAAAATAAAAGAAAAAGCCAAGCAAATAGACTTGATATCTATAAAACACTCAGAAAAAACATACAGTAAAATATTCATGAGGTCTTAATGTATTAAATTTGAACAGTCTCGAGAGATAGTGCACTTTTTTAAGAAAAAGTTTTTTAAGAAAAAATTCTTCTTGGTTGGAGAATTAGAAATATAAACCCAATTTTCTTTAACATAGTCCATTAGAAACACTATTCACAGATTATTTTAGAATATTCTATAATTCACTTTTGTATTAAAAAGAAAAAAAAAAAAAAAGGCACCTCCACATAACAAAACCCCACCACTGGAATACCTAAAAAACAGGAAACTGGCAAAATTCTACAGACTGGTGGAATCCAAGTCTGATGAGAATCCAGACAAATGACTCAAGCTTAAATACATCATAAATCTATGAAGTGCCTAAGAAGGATATTTGTATTCAGCACACAATAAAAAAGCACCAATGAAAATTCTTATAATAATCCTGCTTTCTCTAGTTATCTTTCTTTAAATCAATTATGATGCATAATGTTTATAATATTGACTGATCAGACTTTTATTACTATTAGCATTTAAAATAATTCAGTTCTAACAGGAATTTGCAGACTGATGAAAACAACATCGAAGTGAGGAAACAGTTGAACATCAAAGACAAGGTAAGAGAGAACAACTAAAATGAAGAAAATTAATATGATACATAGTTCAAAGCACTAGATTATTCCATTTCATTTTAAATCAAGGAAAGAATTTTAGGCAGAAGATCACCCTCATTTGTCAGATGGTGCTCTGAAGTCAACCTGTTGTCAAGAGCTACATTATAGCCATTGTAGACATTTAAATCTTTGGACTTAGCAAATTTACCTGCTCCACACAAATTACAATTTACTTAAAACACAAGGGATAAAAGCCAAACAACTGCTAAAAAAATGCAAAACCCAGAGAAGAGAAGGTAACAGAGAAGTACAAGGTAACATCTTGATAACTCTGACCACAACATGTCATCTCCTGAGTAATCAAGCCTTGCAGGAAACCTGACACAACAGATATCTAAGGTGTAAAAGCTTAAAGAGTCTATGAACAACAACAAATAAAAATGTACAGAAAGTAATCAAGACTTACACATAAAACTATGAGATCTGTTTACAATATTTATTGAACTGGTTCAAGTACAGCACAACAGATCTGTGCAGAGCTATTTAACAATAAGTATTCATGCTAGCAACTATTTTTAAGCTACTTCAGAGCATTCAATTCATATATTAATCTCACATTTTGACATTAATAGACTGCAGATATCAGCTTTAGAAAAAATCCTTTGTGAATAAGGTGGGTTCATCTAAAAGTCTGTCACAGACGCACTTGTCATTTCTGCACTGCTGTGCTGTAATTGCTAGTCACAACAGAAAGAGCAACTTTATCTCTCTGATGTAGAAATATTTATTTAATAGAAACTCCAGCACCATAAACAACTCTCTACAAGAGCTTCTTATTTTGAGTT